GGTGCTAACGGTGGAGTGAGCGCCAATGCTGGTGTCGGAGGTGGTGTCGGCGGATCGGCCGGTGTGGGAGGAGCGGCAAGTACTGGTGCGGGTGGAGCTACGACAACGACGGACGGCAGAACTAGCACATCTACGTCGCAGAACGGCGGGGCCAAGGCAACTGCAACTACCACGACTGCAGGCACGACCACCGGCACCGCCGGCACGGGTGCTTCGACGAAGCAGACAGGTTATCGCATGCTGCGGTCGCAGTGAGCCGAGGAATAGTGTCTTGTTGACAACTTCTCCTGGCTACGTTGTTCAGCTCTTAACTCATCTCGCTCAAAGAGGCGATCTGTCGATATCTGTGTATAATTTTTAATACCGTCGTGTAGTAAGAAAATAAATGTGCTGTTGTTTCTCATTGCTGTCGGGTTTTGCTTCTTTATGCGTCGCTTGCAGTTAGTAAGCATCGTATCAATCTAATTTGCTGAATGTTTGGTGCGTAGAGCACTTTTTGATTCCGAATTATACTATGTTTAGTAACTGTGATATTGAAGTTGCACTCGAGAAAGGCAACTTGCTGCTTTTGTGAGTACATGAGCAAAAGAAAACATCGAGTAGCTTAGCTCAGGATTCTAGCGCACTCTTGCGTGTTGGCTGCATTATTGACCAGCTCCCGGCCGTCTGCACCGGCCCCGTATCTATTTAAGAGCAGTCATGACCGTGTCAGCTGCGTGACGGTCATTGGAGGCACATGTTACTTAGCGTTTGGTTTATCGAAGTCAGGGGAGCTTGGGGGAGAGCGCGCCAAAAGAAAAGTGCCGCCCCCGCAGTTCAGACGGATGGAAGCTTCTAGAAGCTTCCACAGCCGTCCTACATCTGCCTGTTTATTATTTACAATACTATACATTCCATAGTACAACTAACAACCCATTGCAATAAGATAATGTCACCCAATCGGATACACTCACCCTCCCTCTGGCAACCGCCGCCTCTTCATAGCCTTCATTCTCGAAAAAGCACAGCGGACGGCGAAGTCGGCCGTCTCAACAGGGACTCGCTCGAGCCGGTGCCATCTTTGCCTACGGGCCTGGCTTCACTGGAATTGAGTGGGTTCCAACCCGAGGCGGTCACTATGGCTTCATCACGCCGGTCTGCTTCCTCTCGTGATCTCTTAGTGGGGCTCCAGTCTACTGCTGGGCTCCGTGCGACTAAGTCACGGCTGGCGCGCGTCTCTTTGGCCGAGCCGTCATTGGGAACGGCCGCAAGCCGTCAGGCTACAGCGCAGCCCACTTCACCGTCCCCACCATCGTCACCTCCGCTACCGTCACCTCCATCGTCGCCGCAGTTACCGTCGCCGCCGTCGCCTCCGTCTCCCTGTTGGGTCTTCAGCGACCTCGCCCGCTTCTGCTCCGTCCGCAGTTTCTCCGCCGCCTGCGCTGAACACCGCGCCGTTATCACCTCCGGACGATGCTTCGGTGGCGTCAGACGTGTCCGGCGTGTCACTTTTAAACCGCTTGAAGGAACTGCATTGTGGTCCGCTCTTCGGCAGCTCCGATGAAGAAGAAGACGAGGGCGGCTCGTACGGTCCGCACGCGGCGCGTCCACCATCCTCCACTCCCTCAGTGAGCGGCCTATTCGATGATTACAGCGATGAGAAGACTGTACCTGCTGGTACCCTTAACCCTTTCACTACCAGAGTTTTTTTGGTAGGTCCGCTCCGGACCTCTACCTCGACCACTAAGCTCTCAGTAAAAACAAAAATCAGCGTATGGTATGGCTTTGATTATCCACGTGGTTGGTGAAATTGTTGAGCGAAGTCACTCACGGTACTGCTTCATATTCAAAATTTCGAACTGGCAAGGGGGGAACTGGCACAGAGATGGTTGGGCTGGAAGCGACGCGGGCATGCAGCTACTGCGGCGACGCGCCGTGTGAATGGGACCAGTACAGCAAGTACATCATCAGCAGCAGGCTTCGAATGTTGACACGGAGGCGTGGACAGCGAGATCCAAGGAGTGTCAAGAAGGCGCTAGTACAGCTATATTTTACAGGAAAAATGGGCGCCTGTGCAGGGAGGCGCGCGTCGAGCTGCCCCTCTGCGTCGACAAGCAGATCTCTCGCCTCAACACAATCGTCACGTACGTCTACACTGCTCTTTCTCCGCGTTATGGCAGTTCAAGCTGATTTAGATACGTTATTGTCTTGTTCTTTTTCAGGCGTGTGTGTGCAAGGGGGTCTCCTGAAGCTTCGGCACACAGTGCGTCAAGGGCTGACCGGACGGCAGCTGAGTTTATATGTAAGTGCGTCTTGAAAGTGAAAGGCTGTAAAGCAAACAACGTGGAACCCTCTGTGGCACCCTGTGCACCCGAAAAGCACTTTCCTGCTGGGAAATCCTCGCAGAGAGCAGAGATAACATGTTAAGTTTGCCTTTGGAGTGCTGCTTCGAGTTGGGCGTGATTGCATGGGGACTCGCGTCGGCTCCGACAACATCTTGAATGGGCTGGTTCGGGGCTGCTTGATTGCGGCACTCTTTTGCCACCGTGCTTGCTGTACGGATGTCAACTTCTGAGCTACACGCCGCTTGAATTCGCGCAGCGTTACGCGTGCTGATGCAGTTTTTCGCTACCTTTCGGAACAGTGCGAACGCGTTGATGAGCGCAAGGTCCAACGCCCACGTGAGGATGCTCATGGAGAGCCGCCTCTCCTTCCGTCGGATTGGATTGGTGTCCCGCAATTGATCCACTCGGTCTACGCCGTTCATGAAGAGGCTGTACGCTACTATCATGGCCGGTACCTGAAACGTTTTTCGGTGCATGACCTGGTCTCCAGTCCACCGCCGTAACGGAGCAAGACCACGACATAGCTGAATCGCCTCTTGAGAATGCCCAGGCAGTACATCCTGCGAAGATGTACCTGCCAGATCGTTGGTGTAGAAGACCACAGTTTTCTTGTCGCGAAAAACGATGTAGCCCGCGTTTGAAGCTGATGTTGTTGGCGGAATGTACGGCGTCTGCCGGTGTGCTGGATTTTTTTTGCGCACGCTTGTGCTTTTCTTGAAGCTTCTCCCAGTCGGCTGGTACACCCAGCGCTGCAATAAGCTCCCACGAGCCTCGTTCAGCGTTATCGATCCTTGCTTCCGAAGCCTCCAAACGCTCGGCCATCCACTTGCCCTGTAATCCAATACGAACAGTTCCCAGCAGCTTCATTTCGCCATCCGTAAACGTTGTCAGAGTCTTAGCTAGATTGTGTCGAGTGTAGAGGTTGTCACAAACGAGCAAACGGTGCTGGGTTGGTGCTGGATACGTCTTGGTCAGGTGGCCGCACATCGCGATCCATAGAGCACTAGCATCTTTACGTTTGATGCAGACATCGTCGCGATCTAGAGTTCTAAACAATGCTGATCTAAGCGCTGGGAAGACGTCTACGTATCTGTCAGCCGGGGTGGTCTGTGTGCGATTGCAGGATCCATTATCCCACACCGAGTAAGCATACAGGCTCTCCCAGCCTACCACAGAGTAGAAACGCACGCCATACTTATCTGGTTTCGACGGCATGAACGTACTAGCCGATGATCGCGCCTTTGTGCGCACCGTGTTTTCATCTAAGCTGACAGCACCAACCGGGACTGCAATCGTGGCGAACTTCTCCTGTATTTGTGACATCAGTCGCCGGCTGTGCCACAACGGATCCTGCTCGCGCCGCTCGACTGGCACGCTGCCAGGTGCGTGCACCTGAAACCTCGCCCGAATATTTTCAAAGCGACTCCTCGCCATTGTTGCCACAAAGTCGGACTGCCCCATAAACATTTTCTGAGACCATAGCTCTTTGATCTCGGTCACTGGCTTGAAACTCATCGCAATCTCTAAGCCAATATAAGCATCAAGCTCGCACACTGTTGCCTCAGGCTTTCCTTTCTCTTTGAGCATTTCGCTCGTCCACCTGTGCAACGAGTCCCGAAATTATCTGGTAAAGAACAAGGAGAAGAGCCCGAGCTCTCCCCGCTCCTCGTAGGCAGCTTTCACCCCCCCTCGCGGATTATATGCAGACCGCTGTCATGAATTATGCCATCCACGTACGCGTTGCCAGTTCGTCTCTCCCCTGGTGGTAGCGCACCTGCAGTGGACTCGCTGTTGGATACGTCATCGCCCTCCGCGCCTCCGGTTCCGCTGGGTTCCCCTTCCTCTGTATCAGATACCTCAAAGGACCAGTCAGTGTCAGCGCCATCGTCGGCGTTCAGCAGCACGGCGACGTCCATCTTCACTGCAGGGAGAAAGCAAAAGTGCTGATACATCGCAAATTTGCGGATAGATAGCGAAATGTGTGCGGTAGAGGACCTCTTATTATTGTGGTCTTCACGGTACTGTGTTTGGTAGAGGCTTGGTGAGCTGGAAGCCTTACCCTCGTAGAGAGAATATTGGCCAATGACTGAAAGCCTGCACCGCTGTTAGAGGTCCACTCCGGACATGTAAGCTCGCCAGATTTGGCTGGTAGTGAAAGGGTTAACTCGAGGTTCTCGATTACGCGATGAAGGACTCGTACTTAGCAGGGTTCCAGTCCGGGAAGAATTTGGCCACGCTCCCGTGCACCTCCTGCTCCGTGCCGGCCACACCGCGCCCTTCCTCGAAGAGGGACGTGAGGAAGGCCGCAAAGTCCGTGTCGAACTTTTTCTTGTTCTCCTCGTAGTCGACGTGGCGGATCTCGATCTTCTTTGTTCAATTTTCTTCTCCACAGGGTCACGGATCTGCAGCGGCGACAGAAGCTCGGCCTCGAACGGGATCTTTGGCGCCTCCCAGTGCGCCTCTTGGGGGCCGCGACGGCACGGGAGCCCGGAGGGGACCCGGATCCGGCCCCCCGGATGGATAAGGGGGGTCTCGCCCGTTCTCACCACATTCATGGAGACTTCCTCCCAGGGAAAGTCCAACAGAAAGTCGCGATTCCGGCAAAAAAACCCGTGAAAAAAAGGGAGAAGGGGAACTGGGGGGCGTTGACCGACCTATAGCGTACCTCTTGGGCCCCGTTAGGGACCTACCGCCCACTGTGCCGGCAAGTCCTGTGTTCGCAAACTCCACGTGGATGGGGAGAGCAGCTGTAATACTAAAGAGTAGGGAGGGA